CGGGGCGCGGCGCCGGCGGCGCGGCGGGCGGCAGGCGGCCCTCGAGGATGTTGTCGAGCGTGAGGTCCGCGGAGCGCGTGCGCGCCAGGTCGGCGGCCAGCGCGGCGCGCGAGTGCTGCGGGAACATGAGTTGCAGCTGCGCGGCGGCGGCGTCCAGCTGAGCGCCCGCCAGCGCCGCCTCGGGCCGCACGCGCGTCACCTCCACCGAGAAGCTCGGCAGCCACGACACGTAGCGGGACCCTGCGCACCATATCACACCTCACTCACCGCTGTCGTATTAGTTAAGTTTATTCGATATTTTATTTCTACTTCTGTCGATGACGTTAGTTCTTCTGTCGACTTTGCCGGCGCATGACGTAGCGGCACTCTCGCTACACTCGGAGAGTAGAGCGTCGTTCGCGTGGTAAGGTAAAGCAGCGAGTGACCTGCATGGGCCTGCCGCCACAGCAGCGCGGCGAGGCAGCAGAGCGCGGTCAGTGCGGCGGCGTACACTGCCAGCCGCCGCCGCATCTAACTCATGCTCGCTCCAGCACTGATTGCGCTCTAGTCTAGTCACTGCATTGCTCTCGTGTCAATTTAGTTCCCACCCGATTGTTCCCGACTATTTTTCTCTCGTTGTCTGACGTCTAAATTTCGTTTGACAATGACATGAAAGTATAGTGACGATTGATATTTTTTGGTTTATTTGTTTATTACAAAGTTTCTAATATGGAAGGTTGAATGTTTGACAAGGTGATTTTTAATAAACACGCCTTTTTAGGGTTTTGTCAAGGACGTTGAAAATAGGCGGACATAATGTCACTTAGAAATGATTGAATCACCAAAATGGTAGTGGTTTTTTGTGTGCGTGTGTAATGAGTTACCACGTTACACTTAAAACAAACACCGACTTCAAAAAACCAAAAACTAAAAACAAACATTTCCGCTGAACATATATTGGATTGTTTAGGTAAGTATTGCAATCCCCCTCACAGTATGGTGCACTATTTACTGGACACCTGTATATACAGGGTTACAGGTAAGTCGACCTAAATTCTTTAAGAGGTGGTAGTATCCATCATTCCTGACCTAATTGACTAAGGAACCCCATATCCCAAGCTTAACCAATCTTAAGATATCGGTAATTGGACCTCCGGTAACCTCACTCACACGAAGAAAGACAACGCAAGCGTTGCTACACGTCGGTTTTCTGCTCGGCCGTACTATCTCACTCCAATCGAGCCCGCCCATTCGTGCCAAAGCATGGCTCTTCCACGCTAGTGATAGTTACTTTTATATATTAGTATAGATTAGGTAATTAGATAGTTCTCTTACCGTCGAAGTGGAATAGATGGTTGGGGTGGCGGGCGGCGTCCTGGCGCGGCGCGGCCGGACCCGCGGCCAGAGCACGACGACATGTTGGACACGACGCGTCCTGCTGCACCCACTGACACAGGCACGAACTGCACACACCACACCTCGCATTACTCACACTGCTGCACCCACTGACACAGGCACGAACTGCACACACCACACCTCGCATTACTCACACTGCTGCACCCACTGACACAGGACGAACTGCACACACCACACCTCGCATTACTCACACTGCTGCACCCACTGACACAGGCACGAACTGCACACACCACACCTCGCATTACTCACACTGCTGCACCCACTGACACAGGACGAACTGCACACACCACACCTCGCATTACTCACACTGCTGCACCCACTGACACAGGCACGAACTGCACACACCACACCTCGCATTACTCACACTGCTGCACCCACTGACACAGGACGAACTGCACACACCACACCTCGCATTACTCACACTGCTGCACCCACTGACACAGGCACGAACTGCACACACCACACCTCGCATTACTCACACTGCTGCACCCACTGACACAGGACGAACTGCACACACCACACCTCGCATTACTCACACTGCTGCACCCACTGACACAGGCACGAACTGCACACACCACACCTCGCATTACTCACACTGCTGCACCCACTGACACAGCCACGAACTGCACACACCACACCTCGCATTACTCACACTGCTGCACCCACTGACACAGGACGAACTGCACACACCACACCTCGCATTACTCACACTGCTGCACCCACTGACACAGGCACGAACTGCACACACCACACCTCGCATTACTCACACTGCTGCACCCACTGACACAGGACGAACTGCACACACCACACCTCGCATTACTCACACTGCTGCACCCACTGACACAGGCACGAACTGCACACACCACACCTCGCATTACTCACACTGCTGCACCCACTGACACAGGACGAACTGCACACACCACACCTCGCATTACTCACACTGCTGCACCCACTGACACAGGCACGAACTGCACACACCACACCTCGCATTACTCACACTGCTGCACCCACTGACACAGGACGAACTGCACACACCACACCTCGCATTACTCACACTGCTGCACCCACTGACACAGGCACGAACTGCACACACCACACCTCGCATTACTCACACTGCTGCACCCACTGACACAGGACGAACTGCACACACCACACCTCGCATTACTCACACTGCTGCACCCACTGACACAGGCACGAACTGCACACACCACACCTCGCATTACTCACACTGCTGCACCCACTGACACAGGACGAACTGCACACACCACACCTCGCATTACTCACACTGCTGCACCCACTGACACAGGCACGAACTGCACACACCACACCTCGCATTACTCACACTGCTGCACCCACTGACACAGGACGAACTGCACACACCACACCTCGCATTACTCACACTGCTGCACCCACTGACACAGGCACGAACTGCACACACCACACCTCGCATTACTCACACTGCTGCACCCACTGACACAGGACGAACTGCACACACCACACCTCGCATTACTCACACTGCTGCACCCACTGACACAGGCACGAACTGCACACACCACACCTCGCATTACTCACACTGCTGCACCCACTGACACAGGACGAACTGCACACACCACACCTCGCATTACTCACACTGCTGCACCCACTGACACAGGCACGAACTGCACACACCACACCTCGCATTACTCACACTGCTGCACCCACTGACACAGGACGAACTGCACACACCACACCTCGCATTACTCACACTGCTGCACCCACTGACACAGGCACGAACTGCACACACCACACCTCGCATTACTCACACTGCTGCACCCACTGACACAGGACGAACTGCACACACCACACCTCGCATTACTCACACTGCTGCACCCACTGACACAGGCACGAACTGCACACACCACACCTCGCATTACTCACACTGCTGCACCCACTGACACAGGACGAACTGCACACACCACACCTCGCATTACTCACACTGCTGCACCCACTGACACAGGCACGAACTGCACACACCACACCTCGCATTACTCACACTGCTGCACCCACTGACACAGGACGAACTGCACACACCACACCTCGCATTACTCACACTGCTGCACCCACTGACACAGGCACGAACTGCACACACCACACCTCGCATTACTCACACTGCTGCACCCACTGACACAGGACGAACTGCACACACCACACCTCGCATTACTCACACTGCTGCACCCACTGACACAGCCACGAACTGCACACACCACACCTCGCATTACTCACACTGCTGCACCCACTGACACAGGACGAACTGCACACACCACACCTCGCATTACTCACACTGCTGCACCCACTGACACAGCCACGAACTGCACACACCACACCTCGCATTACTCACACTGCTGCACCCACTGACACAGGACGAACTGCACACACCACACCTCGCATTACTCACACTGCTGCACCCACTGACACAGGCACGAACTGCACACACCACACCTCGCATTACTCACACTGCTGCACCCACTGACACAGCCACGAACTGCACACACCACACCTCGCATTACTCACACTGCTGCACCCACTGACACAGGACGAACTGCACACACCACACCTCGCATTACTCACACTGCTGCACCCACTGACACAGGCACGAACTGCACACACCACACCTCGCATTACTCACACTGCTGCACCCACTGACACAGGACGAACTGCACACACCACACCTCGCATTACTCACACTGCTGCACCCACTGACACAGCCACGAACTGCACACACCACACCTCGCATTACTCACACTGCTGCACCCACTGACACAGGACGAACTGCACACACCACACCTCGCATTACTCACACTGCTGCACCCACTGACACAGGCACGAACTGCACACACCACACCTCGCATTACTCACACTGCTGCACCCACTGACACAGCCACGAACTGCACACACCACACCTCGCATTACTCACACTGCTGCACTTACTTGTGGAACAGGTGGGAGCAAGGTAGTTTGCGAGCCTCCTTCATTGGCTCCCAGCAGATGGCGCAGTTATCCTGATTCTTTTCCACTTCTTCTTTGCTAGCCATTGGATAACTGTTGACATTGGAATTTGAAAAGTTTCATATGTCAAATTACGAAGAGTAACGGTTGTAATAGTTAATCAATCATATAAAACAAAAAAAAAAATAATTACCAGAGCCGTGCGGAAGCCAGGGCGGCCCACTAGTTGTATATTATAAGTGTTCTACTTATTACCTAGTTCTTCTCGATAATTTCAGTTAGTATAGTCCCATCTCTATCCGAAAGTTAATCATGGGAGCGCTTAGAGGAAATTAATTTTAATATTTTTAATCGTTCCTCAAAGCGCTCCCTTTCGGGAGCGCTTAGATGGGCGCGCTTTAAAACGGCGGCGCTACGAGGAATACCTCAATATTTGAACTTATATCGTCAGTAGTAGGCGGCACTCACTTGCGGCTCATGTGCGTGGCGAGCGCCGTGTAGAGGCGGTGGCGGCGCAGGCGCGCCTGCAGCTCGTGCAGCAGGTGGCGCAGCTGCAGCAGCAGCACCAGCGACGCCATGGACACCAGCATGCTGCACTGCGCCACCTGCGCCGCCGCCAGCGCCAGCTCGGCCAGCAGCGCCGCCGCCTCGAAGCCCAGCGCCACGTAGTAGGCCGCCGCGCCCGCCGCGTCGGCCGCGCACAGCGCCAGCGCGTAGCGCGCCGCCACGTGCAGCGCGCTCACCAGCACCAGCACGCACTGCCACACCAGCCCACACGAGCTACTCATTATGACACATTCTCCACCAAACACGCTCTGGCGATAAATTACACTCGTTTCGTTTGAAACGCAATCGAGCTTCTTGCCAGACCTATCGATGAATCGGATTCGAGTGCTTCTAGATGCTGCCTAGCCGAACCGGCCTAAAGATGGGATAGGGGCAGTAAGCAATGTATACACGAGCGAGAGTCGTACCTCGGCCGCCATAAAGGCGAAGGTGTCGCGTCCGGCCGGCAGCCCCCAGACGGCGGCGGCGGCCAGCAGCGCGGCGGCGGCGGCCAGGATGCCGGCCAGCAGGCACGCCAGGCGCACGTGGGCCCAGCCGCCCGTGTGGGGCGACGACGACAGCTGGAACAGCAACTCTTATTGTGCATGCGATATACTTTGACAAACAAAAATTTGTGTTTCAAAGCTTGGAGGCGTAGGACGTCGAGTGCCGCCTTTAGACACGTGATGCATAATTATACAATCACATTATTCTATTGACAAAAGATATTACCACATTCCCAGCCGTCGATGTGTATCTTTCATTTACACTTTCACATTAAATTCACTATCCACTAATAGTATAAAGTTAAAGGACACATTTGGTTTTTTGTTTGTTTCTTTAAATTGAATAGGCTCCGAAACTACCGGATCGAATTGAAAAATTCTTTTACTGTTATCGATGATAAACATAGGCATTATTTAATAAGACAGAAAAAGGGAACCGTGTGAACATTTTGATAATGTAACCCGATGTGTGATAAAATTACCAAAAAGCTCTTTATATTTTTTATAATCACTATCGTGAAACATACTAAATTAACTAAAATCGCGGTTTACTCACGTGAATATACTGAGAAAAGCTCTACTAGTTTCGAACCACAGAGGGGTTCTTCCTCATGAGCAGCGTGCGCAGTCGCGGCGATGTCGCGCAGCTGCGCGTGTGTGTTTTCAACCACTATTTGATTGGAATTCAAATGGAGTTTTAATCACTGAAACCTCACGGGAATGGATACTATACGGGTAAAATCTGAAATACGGGTGAAATCACGAAAGTGAAAAATATTTCACAAGAAATATAACTGAATCGATTCTGATGAGATTTTTTTACACAGCATTGGAATTATCCTTGGAAAAGACTAATTAAAAAATTCATAACTTGCCAGAAGTCATATTATACGCATACGCGGACAAAGTCGCAGGGAACAGCTAGTACTTACCTACTAAAACGGCAACTTCACTAACAACGCAAGCATTGTTTCAAGCCGGTGGTGTTCTGTGAGGCCGGTCGAGCCCACGCCCCATTCGTGCCAGACCATGATTCTCCCGCGTGATTTGACATTTTTGGTTGTCTAAGTATTAGGTTTCTTTCTACTTACTACCTACATGATATGTAATAGGTAATTATGTTACTTCAAAGCAACCCCTCACTAACGCATATTATAAACATTTATAATATTTTTTTTGTATTTCTTGTTATAGCGGCAACAAAAATACATTATCTGAATTTTCAACTACCTAGTTATAAGACGGCTCATTAAATACAGCCTGGTGACAGACACAGGCAGACGGACGGAGTACTCAGTACGGACAGCAGAATCTTAGCAAAAGAGCTCCCGTTTTTACCCTTTGGGTACGGAATCCTAAAAATGATAAGCATCCTACGCCAACACGAACGTTAACGTTTAACTGTTATAGTACAGTGATTAGTCTGTCTGTTTCGATGTTTTATTTGTTGTCCTGCAACATTATAACGTCTAATAATTTAAATTATAGATCATGTAAATTAGCCGTAGTGTAGAGCTAGAGGGTCGCGCCGTCGTCGTCGGCGCATCGTTGTAAGACAGTTGCTTAGGTACTTCACGAGCCATATTGGAAACTAAATGTTGGGGAAAGATTTCACTTGTACCCAGCATTTTGTAGAAAACATTGAGAACTTTTGATAACTCGTATTCAGTGTTGTCCTTTAGATCTGCGAGATGTGTGATCGTGTGACCGACGCACACGCATGCGCGCGATATTATGTGGATACAAACAATTATTTTCGTCATCAATGTATTTATACATAAACTTGTTGTTTAGCGGCCGTGACTGCGCCCGCGCCATTCGCAAACAATGTGGTCACATTTACTTCGATTCGACGGCAACTGCTCGTGATGAATGTTCTAAAAACTTCGATTGTCCACAATCCACAAGACACCGTTACGATGCTCAAGCTGCGCGGTTTTAACGAAAAATTAAATGTTCGTTATGATGTAAGAGGCACCATTTATGTTTGTCTATAATTTTAACTAATTAATGGCAGAGAAATGCGTATGTAGTCGTGAAGCAGTACATAGGCACTGCATTTATGCGAATTGTTAGTTAAAAAATAGTAACAGATAGCAATATTGTACTCACATATTCGTACCTATCCTTGCACAACTGGCCGAGCAGGTGCAAGAAGCCGACGAGTGTGAACCAGGAACACCAGAGCAGCACCTCATCCATATACTGCACGTTGATGACGCCGAACACGAAGATGAACTTGTAGAACACGTAATTCCAGAACTTGTCTTTGACGCGCTGTGCCTCGGCCACGCGAAGCGGCCCGAACACTAGCCGCTGCACCGCGAACCCGAACACCGCCAGAGAGCAGTACGCTATGTTGATCAGGGTCTGCAATCACAAGCACGTTGCCTCTTATCTCGAGTGTCTGCCGTATACAGATCTGGCCGCGATTGAGATTCTAATGTGTGAGTGTGTACTACATAATGTTTTCCTAAAGGACACGAATTCATAACAATACATAATTAATTGTGGAAGTTTAAAAAATATGTATGTATAGGTACCTTATTTTTTTTGTGAGGGGAGATAATCATCCAATGACTTCTCCCGCCCGGGATGTATAGGTACCTGGGCGGTTAATCTAGAAGTTTTTAACATATAACTATGTGTACCTACTTTTATTCAAAATAAAAAAATGCGCTGAGAAGATGTGGAGTCGAGACAGGCGTACCGCTTGGTTGAGGTACATCTTAGGAAGGATATCTCTTGGAAGCATCCTACACACAATTTAAGGGGGACTATCCTCTCATAAGATGCGGGGTCCTAGCTCACGGTGCCATGCACCCACATGCACCCGTCCATCTTGAACCTGCCCACGCTAGGGCGCCAGGCGGCCTGAGCTGAGTCATTGCCATTAACCGGATTAGTGTTCTTTGTTACCAAAATACCTATAACCTTCATTATTTATGAATGACCTGTTAATTAGTTATTTAAGTTCTGTAAGTTGCCGGGGCTCCGGCTCGAAGCAAGAATAGGAACGGGGTAGTTTTTAATTAGTAAGAGTCTGATACTCTCTCGCCTCACCTAAGACAGGACAAGTCATTGGATGATTTTTCACCTTAAAACAAAATGATGGACCAGGAATGTTATAACGGCAAAGTCATAACAGTTATCAGAAACATATAAAAAACTAGCTTCTGCCCGCGACTTCGTACGCACAATCTCGAAAAAAATTTAGGGGTGGACTACCCCTAACATTTAGGGGGATGAAATATAGATGTTGGCCGAATTTCATAGATACCGGATAAGCACAAAAAATTTCATCAAAATCGGTCTAGCCCTTTCGGCTCCTCCGAAAGGGCTAGACCGATTTATGGCAACGAAAACTGTGACACGAGAATTTTATATATTAGATCAAGTTATGTACTTTTTAAACCATACTCATTTTTCAAAGTATGTACGTAGGTAGTTATAGATATTATCACTACTGTGCTAATTGTTACATTCCAGTTCCATTTATAGTATTTTTTTATCTAATTTGCATTTAACAGTAATGTGGATATGTGTTAGTTAAGCGCGGATTGTTAATGAGCACGGTCATCGACACCTGGACTGTGTACTCACTACGTAGAACGTCTAGCCGTACGCGCACCGTCGTCGCGTCGGTCGACAACATAGGTACATGAGTCAACAGCCCTTGTATACTTAATGCTAGTTATACAGAACTGGTGAATAGTGGCATCGTGAATATTAGCTTGTGACATATCATTTCTGTATTCAATGATGTTAATTATAATGGCAGCTTTCACATAACCAGTGGTGTAATTACAGGATGGCAAGTCGGCGAAATGCCACGGACCCCGAGGTTTTCATCTGAACTTCTGTTTTTTATTGACAACGAGGGCCCATCCAATGAATTTGCCACGGGCCCCGAATTGTACAGTTACACTTACGCATTCAACTAATGCTATGTTTGAACGAGTTACAAACTGATACTGAGCTTACAAAACTTATATACAAAGCTACCATTTTGTTTATACGAGTGCTCAGCATGGGTAGATACGTATTCCTTATCGTTAAAATACTAACTACTCCCAGGCGTGTTCACACTGCTCGGCTCTTATTTATCGTAGCGCGATGTATTATAACCTACAAGGCCTGCCATACACGGTCAGCTCGAACAGTTACCCAGTGATAAACATACACGGAGCGCTCTAGCAGTCAGAGTCAGCTTGAAGATGGTATTGATAATTGATCAAGCAGTTAGCTTAATTGCCCGAGAAATTAGTCATTTCAATAAACAAACGAAACGTCCGCCCGAGAAGGGTGGACGACGTTAGACGACGTGCAACGAAGGGCGCGGGTGGGGGTGGGGCACGAGAGAAGTCGACGGCTCGAGCAGTCAGTGTTTGCCTGGCGAATTATCGACTGCTTGACCGCAGGATGAAATATCAAACCGCCCGATGCAGTCACAAAATTAGAAAGCAGAGGAAAGTTACAAAATAGTACTTATGCAAAGTTGGGTGGTTAGGTATCTGCAAAAAGTCATGTCTGCTGTAGTTATTTCTTATTTTGAAAGTTGGTATATGAGAGTCCCATCGGGGATACCTTCAAATGGTGCCTAGGTTTTTGGAGAGAAAGACTCGGGAGTGTGGGATTTGTACCCATCTATTTTACCGACCTATCTATTTTTGTATTCTATTTTGATGTTATAACATTTTATTAGCAGATACACATCGTCAAATTCATCATCAATTAATTCAAACAAACGCACACCGAAGTCTTAAGGTACGAAAATAGACTACGACTCTATACATTATACACTCACTCACTCAGTGTATAATCGAATGTCTCTGTATCAACACGAGTGTTTGTAATTAGGAAAAAATATTGTGACACGATAATTAGTGTCGCAGCAGCTGCCGGTTTGTGTTCTGCATAAGTGTGAACAGTACAGACATTAATGTCAGAAGAGTCGTAATCTATTTAAACTTTTAGTAGGGTTGGGTTTTATTCTATGGGTATAGAAATAAAAAAACGCCAAAAATCACATTTGTTAGACTAACGTCTAGCACTACATAATAATAATTTGTTACATAATTTGTGGAAGCACATCAATGTAGCATTATGGATTGCGTTGTTTCGTCGTGTGAGTGAGGTTACCGGAGGCCCAATTACCCCTCCCATCTGCCCCAATTTCTCAAATCCCTGACAATCCTCAAATAAGTAATTGCCAAAAGGCCGGTAACGCACTTGTAACGCCTCTGGTGTTGCGGATGACTATGGACGGCGCCGATTGCTACTATCAGATACCCTAAGCTAGTTAGGAAAAAGGTCGGAAGTAGGTAGTAGGCCAGACTGAGAATATTTTTATGGAATCTTTAGAAGACATGAATATAAGTGTTAAATATGAGTTTGCATCATTCCTGTCAGGTAGGGAACAGTGTTAAATATTAGGTACCAACATTAAAGTCCCAATATTTTGACAATTTAAATAAATTATATATTATGTATGCATGGCTTTGACAACTATAATCCGCAAAAAAAGCTTGATTTAAAAAACGTGCGTAAATTACTTTACTTTTTTAAATTGTATCATCCAATGACTCATCTCGCCTTGGACGTCAGACTGACTGACGCCCGAATACTGAAAGGCTACTCAAGTTGTTCTTAAATATCTTCCATCTCTGTCATTTTACAATGAATTTGTAGAGACATAACTATACTTAAACGCGACTTAAAATTGAGTGGCGTTTGAGTATTTTAGCATTAAACCTCTAGTTATTATCTATGGTCATCATCTTTCTTTTATAAACAATACCCATTGCATAGCAGTACAGTAACCACATAATTATTATCAACATCAATTGTCCGACAACTGCCGGAGTCAACAATGACCAACTAACTGCAATAATAGGATGCAACCCCGGCAGCTAGGTCGCCGGACTTGTCGGCAAGGTAAATCTGAAGCCCGCGAAGGTGGACTAGTACCTAGCGTAGTAGACCCTATCGAACACGAACCGTCAATAGTTTACTACTTGCTGCGAGTTGCGACGTGCGCAACTACCTACCTACACGGCTACACCACACTATATTCACTTTTTTATTTTATTTTTCGGGTTATTTGGGTCAACACGATAAGAAGTATTTTAAAACACAATTTTATTTGTTGTTGCTTGAAACTCGAGACCAGCCTACTATAATTATTTTTAGTACGTATTTAATTCTACAATCAGTACCAACTAAATATATCTCTGAAAGATAAGATTATCGTTATATCCGCAGTCAGTCGTCGTAAATAATAACAATGTATGTTTAGTAATGAAATGTAAGTAAATACAGAAAACATAGCAATTCTGGACTATGATAAAAATGGCTCAGTACGACACCGACCTAAAGGTCATCAATTAGTCTCTACTGGTTCATTGTTGGACACGAAGTATTAAACACTCAACCAACGGCTTAATTACAATATCGATTAAGTAAGTAAATAATTATTACGCCATAAATTAAACAAACCTTTTATTTATCTGCTAACAACACATTATCATGAACGAAGTAGACGGGTAGGTATAGCCTATACCGTATAGGCTATTAAGCCTTATGACTGTGCCAAGGCATTTTTAAGGGCCTAATCTATTACTTCTATAACCACTCTCAAGTCACATAGGTCACAAACAGAAACAGACACAGGCCACAGGATTGGAACACTACATTATGGTAATAGAAGAAAGAATCACGAGCTATTTTATTTGTGAAAGAGAAACCATTTTGCACTGCTATCTGTTTCTGAAGTATTGATATTTAATGCGTAGGTCGCGATCGCCCGGGGGCCTGGAGGATTTCTATTTCAATTTGGACGTTGAAAGAATTCAGAAAAAAAAGCAATGAAGTTGTAAACAGTAAAGTTCTGGTGCATGGTTGGCGCGGTGGCTGGGCAACCGGCTGCCGCGCAACGTGTAGTGGGTTCGATTCCCGCACGGGGAACTCTTTGTGTAAGGCAAGTGTGGCAAAAAATAAATAAAAAGTGAGTAAGTAAATAAATCGAATTACTTAAATAACTAATTTAAATTAGGAAATGTGGAAAGAAAAATAATTCTGTACATATCTACTATAATCGCTAACTCCTCAATGCAAGACCAGTGCTAGTTTTTTACTAAATAATTTCTCTTATTGTTGATCCCTTCTAGCTACTTTGGGAAAAAAACTATTTTCCAGGCTTCGGTTGCATTATGGCGGAATCAAGGTGCTTTTAAATCATGTAATTTTGTGACATAAGAAACCGAATGCATACAGCCACAGCCACCTTGTAGTTTTATTTCTACAACTGTTTTTAGAAGTGTAATAAATTACAAAATTATGGCGCCGGCAAAAACGAGCACTATATGGTAAGAAGGTTGAAATTATTGCGGTTAGTTTTACGGCTTAAAACAGCAGTGCATGCGCCTCGAGGGTTTGCGCTTCACTGTATGTGGAAAAAACCATGGTGCCGTGGCCTCAGTAATTTCTTTGCTATTTTTTATTCAAGCCACTCAACGAGTCGAGGGTGGGAGCCTGGAGTTCTTTTAATCAGGTCTCCAACCTAGTTCGGAACCATAGGCAGCGACGATTACTTACCATACCATTAGGTAATACCGATGCACATGGTCATAAGCATGCCAATTCCATAAAAGAATTAATCATTAATTAAATAGTATAACTTAGAATTATGTTTTATTTAAATTACCACTAAAAATCACTTGAAAAATGTCAACTGTCTAGCTATCATAAACTAAGTTGCTGACAAACAGATGAACAGATAGCAACTAGAAGGGGCCAGGTATAGAGAGTGGGGTCTCAACCGATGAATTTGATACGGGCCCCTAACTGTATAGTTAATGCCACTGGTGATAACAAAGTTGTAAGAAGTCATTTCACTACTGATGCCAGATAATCTCTATTCGCAGTGAGACAGTTTAACAGTACACATAATGGCGTTATAAAAGAAAATCCTAAATTATTGTGTAGGCGTGACAACTGTCTACCAATATCAATAATAATTAACATGGATGATAAGCATAAACACGATAAACTTCGACGTAATTTGCCCGATACCAATAAATTCGATATGGAAATTGAGAGGGTTACATTTCCCAGGTGGTACTCACCCACATGCATAGTGGTTCCTGCATCATAAATGTTATGACATCCACAAACTGCTCTGATACATTTCTGGTACCATTGGACTGTAACTGGGCCGGTATTGGTCGCTGGTCACCTTGCCCAGACTCCAAGTCCTGTCGGGCTAGCGTGGAGTTTGCACGCCAGTTGGGATCACTAGTTACACTTAAAGCGTAATAAACAGCTATTGAAAGCAGTGAAACACTTCCCGCTGTATAAACCTTGAGATTTGGCAAGGGCAACCTGTCTACTAGTGTAACGGGCATGGTGGATGCCCAAACGTACTCTATCGTGGCAAATAAACACTTATACTACACCACAATTTAGAACATAATGACATTGGATTGTTTTAAAACGCAGTTTTTATCAAAATAGTACACACAACTCATCGAACGTTTACTACGGATGATTAACTGGGTTACCAGTTTATTACTTTTTAAAAAACACCACTGTTGACAACCCATTATCAATAATCTTATTATGGCGTACAAATCAAGATATTCATTTGCTTTATATTTTTCAGCTTAATACCAATTACGACAGTGATACTGAAAAAATTTTTTTTTTTACAATAATAAATTACTTTGGATTGGAATGTAATTTTTGTAAGTGAATAATTTATTTCTGCACGGTTTTGTAGACGTCTAAACTGACTGACATTTTCATAATTCGTATCAGCTGTCGAATGTCGGTCTAGAAAAGAAATATCAGAAACTTTTCTTTATTTACTGTAAGATTTATTCTGATCAAAAATTAGAATATTTAGCACCTTCATGACAGTTTATCTTGCTCATTTCTTTAGAATTTGGCAAGATATTATACAAGGTTCAATTAAACGATAAAATACCTTAATTAAATGGTTTGTTAAATTCGGCTTTTCTTCATGAGTTTTTCATAATACTAGATAAATAAATCAGAAATGTCCGAGAGAGACTATGCCCCACTGAGCATTGCCTGCGTTCGCGGGCTTTGCGATAAAATATATGACAAAAGAAAGTTTGCTGGCGTCGAAATTGAAAAGTGAGTAAAGTTTCCCCCTCGGAATCCACCCCTTTATGACAGACTCAAAACAGGAAGTATTTCACTTTTTCTTATATTTATCACTAGCTTTGCGCTTGCGGCTTCATTGATTTTTTTTTCAAATCAAATCATGCCTGTATATATTAAAGTTCTTCTTGAATCCTCTATGATTATAAAAAAAATCGTATCAAAATGTATTTCATAATTAGGTATTATAAAGATCTAAGATAGATCATAGAGACAGACAGCGGTAAGTGACTTTGTATTATACTGTGAGTGATAAAAAAGTAAGAAAAAGTGTTTATTAGTTACTATTAACTGACAGATGCAATAGTTTAGTTTTACTGTTATTATATATAAATTAGTACCTAGTTGTTGATTTAGGTATAGCAGTCCACATCAACATCTAAAATTAACACCAGGTGACATAGTGACCAAACACTGACCCATTTCATATAAAAAAGTACTATGACTGTATTTATATTCATAGTACTTTTATTACTATTTCAATATTTACTGAATAAAATAAATTTGGTCAAAGTCAATGTCAAAATCATTTATTTCAAATAGACCAGAAATGCATTTTTGAACATCAAAACAAAATATTGAAATTTAATAATGTCAGTCCTAGTGAAGCTATCTGCTCATTCCAAGGTGTACATTCCTATGGAGGAGAACAAGCAAGAAACTCCATAGGTTACTCTTTTTCAATCAGGTTCACAATACAATTTTTGATTACTTGACATACAACTTGACAAATTTACACATTTTAACAATATCAAATGTGGAACATCTGGGTGTACCTCTTCCTCCTCCTACCTCTTCCTATAAATAAAATAAAAATGTTGTGTAATGTACTAAAATATAATTTTGACAAGCACACATTTAAATAAGTAATGACATATGCTTATAGGATGGTAAAAGACTTCAGTGATGCAAAGAACACAAGTCAGATAAAGAGGCTGATACGAGTGCTCGGACAAGATTTGATGTCCTCCACTAACCCTAATGTGAAGAATGGAGCACTCATGGGACTCTCTTCTGTGGCAGTGGGCTTAGGAAAGGTCAGTTATAACATTACTATTCCTGTTTTTAAATAATCCAGCTTCCCACATGCAACCAGAGACCGAATGCAACTACAGATGCAGCTTAGAGTCTAAATCAGTTAACAATGACATGATCCTTACAACACTAGTGTTGTGTGTAAATGAAATTATTTTATTTAGTGTTGTAAGTGCACAAAGTTACAACACTAAATAAAATAATTTCATTTACTTATCTATTACATCAATAGATTATTGAAAGTTGATGATGTAAACATATATTTCCTGTGTTATCTGTTACCACACTATTTTTTATTACAAATTGTTCCAAATCATAACATTATGTGTGACAAAATGTTAATGCAGTTACATGGTGTGGTAACTGCATTAACATTTTTAAACGAGTAAATCACATCTGAAGAGAACTGGTCAGACTTTTCGAAATTAAAATATTTTTACGATTTGGGAATTTCCTATTTACCTAACTTTAGCCTATTTGGCTTAATAATTGTGAATATTCAGATTATAATGTTAACATGAATGAGCAAGAAACTCCATTCATTACTCTTTTTAAAAAAGTATGTTCTACAAAAATCTCTGATACATATTCCAATACTGTATGTATATGTAAGAACAATGCAAAGACACGTTTGACGCATTATAGATACAAATTACAAACTTACTATAAAAAAAAATCTTTTAGTCTAACATGGTGCTCACATATGCATACTAACTATCCATAAAAATTGTGCTTCTATACAAGAAAAAGGAAACTCTTTGTTTCAATAAAGAAAGAAATGCTCGATGCCATGAGGAAACTAGATTGTCTATATTAGAATGAAATTATTAAATTACCCACTATTGGACTTTAACTGCACTGACTCTAGCAACGGCGTAAGTTATATTATTATATATTGTTCGGATAGCCCGCTTTTGTAGGATAAATATTGATTCTATTTCTGCAGCTCGACCCCACAACAAAATGCCGTACGAGATAATGCTGTGGAAATAACTAAAATAGACAAGCCTTGCTGTATCTACGTCCGTGAGCTGTCTAATCTGTCTAACTGCAAAAGCAGCTGAGCTCAATCTCCCCGAAAGCGCCTTTATATGCGGACCCCATTGTAGCCTACTGTCTAACGTATGCCTAAAAATACCGTCTCGTCGACAAATTCTAACTTTTGACCGTTCAAAACAATATCACAATCGTTACTACGCACGTTTGGTAAACTGAATTTAATACATTTGGTTTTTTTCTCATTCAATGCTAGATTGTTAATGGTGAACCAATTATGCACTCGAAGAATGGAGCTGTTTCCGTCATCAAGATTATTTTTACGTCGATCTATTTTAAAAATTAATGATGTATCATCTTCAAAAAGCAACATTCTTGGTTCATTTTTGAATATAAATGGCAAACCATTTACATAGACTAAAAAGAGAAAGGGACCCAATATTGAACCTTGAGGAACGCCCATATTCATCCCAGAGCCTTTGTTTTTTTTTAAAGGGGGAAAATCATCGAATTACTGCTCCCGCCTGGGTGAGGCGGAAGGGAGTGTCAGACTCTTACTGACTAAAAACCACCCCGTTCCTTCTCCTGCACGTCGAGCCGGAGCCCCGGTTACCCGTTAGGTTCTCCGCGACTCCGAATCGGCA